ATTCTATTAAATCTAATAACTCATCATTTGCTACTTCATGGGTTCTTGATACAGGATGTGGTTACCACATTTGTTCTGATTGCAGGGCCTAAAAAGAAGTAGGGAGATGGAGCATGGGAAGATGAACCTGATTATGGGAAACAGAAGATCGTCGCCTGTGACCAAAGTCGGTGTTTATTCTTTAGTGTTAAGTAATGGGTTAGGAATAGATTTAGAGAATTGCTGTTATTCGCCAGATATGGCAAGAAACATTATTTCTTTTCACGGGTTGTTTAGACAAGGTTTCAGATATTCTTTTGATAATAGTAATGGTTCTATTAATGTTTATTTGAATGGTGTCTTTATTTCAATGCATTACCTTGTAATGGGATTTATGAATCAGTGATGATTGTTGATAATTTTGGAAATAATGTTTTGAATATTGATTCGTCTACTAGTCTAGACAAAGCATGCTTGTGGCATTGTCGCCTTGGCCATGTCAACAAGAAACGCATAGCCCAACTCCAAAAGGATGGAGTGTTGGAGTCATTCGACCTTAGGGACGATGACACGTGTGAGTCTTGTTTACTTGGGAAGATGACCAAGTCACCCTTTACTGGCACTTGTGAAAGGGGTGAGGGTTTATTGGATCTCATACACACCGATGTGTGTGGGCCCTTTAGATCCACCACAAGGGATGCTTGCCGCTTCTACGTGACTTTTACAGATGATTATAGCAGATATGGATATATCTACTTGATCAAGCAAAAGTCGGAAACCTTTGAAAAGTTCAAAGAGTTTAAGAATGAAGTGGAGAATCAGCTGGGCAGGAAAATCAAGATGCTTCGGTCAGACCGAGGAGGAGAGTACCTAAGTCTTGAGTTTCACGACTATCTAAAAGAATGTGGAATCGTTTCACAATTGACGCCTCCGAGAACGCCACAATTGAATGGTGTAGCTGAGAGACGTAATCGGACCTTGTTGGACATGGTTCGTTCTATGATGAGTCGGACTTCGTTACCAATAGCTTTATGGGGGTATGCCTTAGAGACTGCCTCCCGTATACTTAACTTAGTTCCCACTAAGAAGGTTTCCAAGACTCCTCACGAGATGTGGACAGGGAAGGCTCCCTCGTTGGCACATATCAAGGTTTGGGGTTGTGAGGCTTTCGTAAGACGAGAGACTCACGACAAACTAGAACCTCGTAGTGAGAAGTGTTATTTCATCGGCTATCCACAGAAGTCTTTTGGCTACCTTTTCTATAGACCGAGTGACAATGTTGTCTTCGTTGCTAGAAGAGGAGTTTTCCGAGAAAAGGAATTGATAGGCCAAGAAGACAGTGGGAGGCAAATTGAACTTGAAGAAATTCAAGATCAAAGCGATGAAGGAACCTCTGACACTGGCACTCAACTTGAGGAGGAAACTCCTGTTGAACCTGTTGACGTGTCCTTACCTCTTCGACGTTCCTCTAGGGCTAGTGTTCCACCCCAGTTTTATGGTTTTCATATTACTACTGAAGGGGATACATTTATTAGTGATAGTACACTAGTAAATTTGGATGAACCTAGCAGCTATAAGGAAGCCATGGCAGGCCCAGAGTCTGCAAAATGGAAAGAGGCTATGGACAGCGAGATTCAGTCCATGTACGACAACCAAGTTTGGAATTTGGTTGATAATGTACCGGGTCGTAAGACAGTCAGATGCAAGTGGATCTTCAAGAAGAAGACGGACATGGATGGGAAAGTGCATACTTATAAAGCGTGATTGGTTGCGAAGGGTTTTACTCAAACTCCCGGAGTTGACTATGATAAGACCTTCTCACCAGTTGCGAAGATAAAGTCTATTAGGGTGATGCTTGCCATAGCTTGCGTTTCATGATTATGAAATATGGCAGATGGACGTGAAGACCGCTTTCCTTAATGGAAAGTTGGCTGAGGATGTCTACATGAATCAGCCAGAGGGTTTTGTCGATGTGAAGCATCCGAATAGAGTATGCAAGCTTGAGAAATCTATTTATGGATTGAAACAAGCATCTCGCAGATGGAATCTTTGTTTTGATGAGAAGGTTAAAGAGTTTGGCTTTCTGCGAAGCGAAGATGAATCTTGTGTGTATGTCAAAGCCAGTGGGAGTATAATAAGCTTCCTCGTATTGTATGTCGACGATATATTACTCATAGGAAACGATGTCCCAACCTTGCAGGAGGTCAAGTCCTGGCTTGGGAAATGTTTCGCTATGAAGGACCTCGGAGAAGCTGCTTATATTCTGGGAATAAGAATAGTAAGAAACAGGGAAAAGAGACTGATAGGACTCAGTCAGGATACATACTTGGAAAAGGTGCTAAAGCGTTTTAGTATGGAAAATTCCAAGAAAGGGGAGTTGCCAATCCAAAGCAATACCAAGCTGAGTAAGACTCAGAGCCCGAGTACAGAGACAGAGATAGCTGATATGAGCCGAGTACCTTACGCTTCCGCAGTAGGCTCTATCATGTACGCTATGACTTGTACTCGCCCTGATGTGGCCTTCGCTTTAAGCATGGTCAGCAGATATCAGGGGAATCCTGGTAGAGCACATTGGATTGCAGTTAAGAATATTCTTAAGTACCTTCGGAGGACCAAGGAATGGTTTCTAGTCCTCGGTGGGAGTGATAACTTAAGGGTACGAGGGTACAGTGATGCTAGTTTTCAGACGGATCGGGATAACTTCCGATCGCAGTCGGGTTGGGTCTTTACCCTAAATGGAGGAGCAGTGACTTGGAAAAGTTCCAAGCAAGAGACCGTAGCTGATTCAACGTGCGAATCAGAGTATATTGCGGCGAGCGAAGCGTCAAAGGAGGCTATATGGTTGAAGAACTTCATTGGAGACCTTGGAGTTGTGCCATCCATAAAGGAGCCCGTGGAAATTTTCTGTGATAATGAAGGAGCGGTTGCCTTAACCAAGGAACCAAGGGATCATGGCAGATCTCGACATATCGACAGGAAATACCACTTTATTAGACATCGGGTAGAAGAGGGACTCCTCATTGTGAAGAGGGTATCGTCAGAAGATAACCCAGCAGATCCCCTTACGAAGGGACTGAGTAGGGTCAAGCATTTGCAGCACGCTAGGAGCGTAGGACTGAAGGACGATATTAGTTTAGATTAGATAGGTAGGAAACTTGTAATAAATAATGTCATGTTCAACTAATGATGATTAAATAAAGGTGTGTTATTTATAAGAAAGTTTCTATCTTGTGTTGATTATTTATCTATTGTGTCGATTTTGCATGTTTTGACTTCCTGAATAATAAGATTATTCGAACAGTTCACAATCGCTCATATGTTGGAAGTAGATATGAAGGAAGATTGTCATAAATTTGTTTGTAGATTGTCTGAAAAGTTTTAGACATAGCAAAGGTTTGCTGCAAAGTTTATGAGTGCTTATGAAATTTGTATTGAGCATTGAAATAGACCCACACTTGCTGGTATTACTTCATGAATGTTATCACAAGTGATCGCAAGATGATAATATCATATAATCTTTAAACCTAGAGATATGGTTATTGTTTGCTGGTTGATTATACATTGATAATGCGAAAACACATCAGTAACTTGATGTTATAAAACGTATTATTGTGTGTGGTTTAACTAGTAAATGATAAAGGCATATTAGTCGACGTTTTTCTGTTCCTTTTATTCTATGAGGATAAAAGTGATATCTCGGCCACTTGATGATTTGGTTTGACTTATGTGCCGGGCTCGGTCAAGATAAAGTTGATGTGTTCAACTGAGTTCTATGTCGAACAAATCAGAGATCAAGAAATAAAATGCTAGACAATAAGTATTGTTAGCATGATATCTAGAACAGAGGATTATGCGATCCCTTATCTAAAGGACAAATTATTGGTCAGGGTTGACAGCGGCTATTGAAAGCTACGATTGCTATCGGGTACGGAAGTAATACGTGAGATATAGTTACTAGACTTATCCAAGTGGGAGACTGTTGGATTAATGTCTAAGTCAGTAACCATATTTGGTATATACTTGACCCGAGTGTGCATGGTCCTTTTGGGTTGCCTTCACCAAAGCAACTTGACAAGGTAATTTGATATGAGAGAGGAGATATTATGATTTATTAATATATTATAAGAATAATATATTAAAGGAGAAATCATATTTATTTAATTAGTATTAGTCATAAATTAATTAGGAATTAAGTTGGTGAGTAAAAGAGATTAATTAAATAAAGGGGTATAAACTGTCAAATGTGTGATAATTGAGTTTTGGGCTAGGAAACCTAATGGACTAAGGGGGGACGAAATTATGATGAAGGATCATCATATTTTCGTCCAAGGCCTCATTCCATAAGGTTTCTTGGGCTGCTTGGTGGCTAAGCTGTCCATTAGGGTTTAGACTAAAACCCTAGCACCCTATAGTATAAATACATGCCCTATGCTTCAATTTGTGGCCACTTGATTCCAAGGTAACCCTAGGGCCGAAATTAGCATCATTCCCTTCTCTCTCTTAGTTGCCTTCTTGCTTCAAGGTGTTTGTGAGCCATTAGAGGCACTACAATTGTGGTGCTTGCTTTCAAGAGTTCAAGAGAGTTCAAGAGATCAAGGAAACTAGTTGTTATTGCTATATAACAACAAAGGTATGTCTACTACACTTCTATGTAATTTTCGAAAATTATAGAAGCATGCCAGGGTTTATTTTGTGTTCATAAAGTTGTATGTTTTATAGTGAAAACATCGATCCAACTAGGGTTGCATGCACACATAGGATTGTTTGTATTAAACCTATCAAAAACATAGTCTGTATTTAACCAATACAAAGCATATGCATAAGCAGAAATCTAAACCAAAAATTATAATCAGCATAAAATCAAACAGTTGGTGTGCAAGGATAATAGAAGTGTATAGTTTCAATATGTATTGCTTTTTTATGTCCTTCCGAGGTCCGACGACAAACAACAGCGACCAAAAAATTTGCAAATAACTTATAAAAGTTAAAGATGAAAAAATAAACAGTATAGTGGAAGACATCTAAAAGAGACTTGTGCCCATCAAACCGAAGACAATAACACCAACAATAAAATCATAAATCTGAAGACCGATGATGGGATGGAGAACTGAATATCGAAAAATCGGAAGATCGACATTGGAGTTTTGAGGTCGATTACGGATACACAATGGAGACCCTGATACAAAATCGAGAGAAGACGATGATTTGAAGCAACAAAACATATTGAAGCAGAGCACACAAATACAGACAATTGAAAATCCAAAATCAAAAGTGATGGTGGTAGGAGGTGACGGAGACGAACCAGAACCCTTTGGAGGTGGCGACCTGGCGGTGGAGGATTCTATTTCTATGACACCGGCGACTTTGAGTTTGATTAAGGAGGAATACCAAGCAATAGGCGGTGGAATGTATTTAGGGCTTAACCAAAGAATGGGTGACTCGGCAGAATGATCGAGATTATCAACTGAAATCGGGTATTTGGAAGAAAATGATTGGTTGTGGTGGCAGTGATAGATTAACATGTTGTGTCCAACACATTTAAACACCGTGTTTTTTTTAATGAAGCGGTGGAGACGCAAGAAAGAGAAGACGACAGGTGTACATAATGAACAATATCTTTGTTTGAAGAAAAAAATAAAAAGGAAATTAAAGAAGTGGTCCAATAAGAATCAACACTTGTTCATCTGGTACTTCTTAATTAGTATATATATAACTAACAATTTTACACTAACATAGGTTTATTATCAATGTGAATAATAAATAACAAATATATACCCCAACAGCTAATACAATGATTAACATCATATTTATCAAAAATTACATAGGGCCTGCCTTGCATCGTCAAATCTGCATTTGTACAGGATCTAAGTTTCTACCAAAAGCTGCAAATTTTCATAGATTATACATGAATGTAAATGCTTTTGTGTGCATCTTTAAGTTGAGTTCATATTTGCCAACCAAAAGGATCATTGATTATTGTAACCATAAGGAACGATGAACACTAGTTGTTAGATACAAATAAGCTTCATGTTGCTATTTGACAGTATTTTGCTTTTTTGCTTTTTTCTAATTTCATACTTTGTGCAACACATTTTCGGTTCCTCTTTTTGGGTATATTTGCAAGACATTTCAAGAATAAAACAAAGACGACTTAAGTTGTTAGATACAAATTTTTATAGCTTATACATGAATGTAAATGCCCTCGCTGTCCTTATAGTTTGATTATATATATATATATATATATATATATATATATATATATATATATATATATATATATATATATATATATATGCAATAAAATTCGAAAAAATTAACAATTAAGGCATTGTACTGTTCATTTTTTAAGTTCATTTATAGCATTGTACTATTTAAAAATCATAATTTTGATGTGTTTGGTCAGATTCTTCAAAAATGATAATTTTTAAGTTCATTAGAACTTGTACCATTGCTTTGTATATGGAAAATTAATTTATTTCCAAAAAATAACATCTTTTGAACGTATATTTTTTATTTTAAATGATAAATGGCTACAATGACTCTATTTGTTAACATTAATATTAATATTCTTTTCATGTTACCATGAGCCTTGCTATAAGTGGTGGACCTAGAGGTCAAAATGTCCACAAAGGTTTCACTTATTATAATTCTCTCACATATGAAAAAAAAATTCTTCTTATTATTATTATTATTATTCTTGTTATACCAAGATTACCCTCCACCACTTCAATTACTTTGTTTCCAGTAAATATCAAAGTTGATATGAGGTTTAACTATAAGGCGGTTTATTGGTCTAGTTACAGGGTGAGAGATAAAATTCTACAAATGGCATGCATAAAATATTAATAATAATAATAATAATAATAATAATAATAATAATAATAAACTTCCTTTTATGTTGTTTGACCAGGAAAAGAATCGAATCAACAAATAGACATGAGGTTAGGAAAACAATAGAGTGTTACCTTATCAAATATTATGATTTTTTTGAGTATATTACAAACTTGTAGCCCATGAATAGAGACCAAGAATTTGACAGGTGTTATGGAATGATGTTGAATCATAGAAGATGTTTGAAACCTCATGTAAACAGATGCCTACATTTTAAAAAATCAGTGTTATATAACAAAGCAATAGAGAGAAATCATGACATACATGCAAGAAATGTTATATATTTGAGCCAACTCATGGCAAAAACCACAGGCATTATTACCTTGCACATCGCGGGCAAAATTTATTCAGATCCAGCTGAAAACTCTCCTCCTATTCACCATTTTATCTAAAGTTTTGTGTTAAAATATTAAAAAAAGAACTCCAAGTCATATCATGATGATTGAGCACCTGAAAACATGTGATTGTGGCTGATTTCTGATTGTTATAAAAAAAAATGATCAACTTCTAGAAGCCTGGATCCCCTGGTCCCTTTTGTGTTGTAGTAAGTCTTATTTTTCTTTTGCTTCCAAACTAAAAGAAATATGATCACTTTAATCAATCTCATGATAACTATAACACAAACTGAAAGAATTAGCAATGTAATACTTGCCTACTATACCAGAAAAAACTCTATATTAAAACTATGATGATGCTTTTTTTTTGCTTCCAACCTCATAGGTCAAACAAAAGGTAAAAGAGTCACTTCAACAACAAAATGGAGGGTAAATTGATCATTTGAGACAACAAAATACAGCTGACCAACAACTAACAACACCAAACCCATAATTTTACTCATAATAGCAACTTCACCTTACCATTTATGCCCTTGTAACTAAAAAACATAATATGCATCAGGATTTTAAGTTTGAAAAAAATATGTCAAAGGAAAGCTTACCTTGATTTCTCTCTGATTGAGGCATCTATTGTCCAAAAACAGGCTGGTGTGAAAATCTACGAAATTGACACACACATAGTTAAACATACAAGTATAGTTAAATGTACACATATAGAGATCTAGATCCAAATCCACTAAATCGACATAAACACAAAATTAAACCCATACTTGCAGTTAAACAAAAATGCACAATTAGGAGGGTATATATATATATATATATATATATATATATAGAGAGAGAGAGAGAGAGAGCATGTGAACGGTAAAGAAAAAGACAATTAAACAAAAAGACACATCTAGATACTTACTTTATCCTTATGACAAACTTAACAGAAGATGGAGTTGTGAACGCTAGTGTACGTCAATCATTCATTAGAGAGGGAAGAACATCTGGGTGAGCACGTAAGGCTTAATGGGGCCAGGGATGGCTAGTGACCCTTTTCGAGGCTGTAACGACGGCGCAGATGGAAGAAGCGATTGAAGATGGTGGTTGACAGATGAGATTTTAGTGGAGTCGGCGGTCAGTGATGTGACGGGGGAGAGGGGGTGGTGGTGGTGTCGGAGAAAGAAACGGGGAACATCGGTCTGTTGTGGTGATTCGTTGTGGGCGAATTTGGAAGAAAAGACCTAGGGTTTAGAGAATATCAGGGCTAGCGTGTTTTAGTTTTTCTTTTTCTATATTCGGTACTTTGATGTTAAGCTTAAAAGGGTTGTATGGAATGTAGTTATATTTGTACCTTTTAATTTTAAAGAAACATGTAATATGCTTAATATAATAGTAAAGATAAATCCGTCTTGCATCTTGTATTTTTTTTTTATTTTCTTTCCATTTCATTTCTTTTATCTCATTAAGTTGAACTCAGAAAAGTTAATAATATTTAACTTCTTTTAATTAACCATATAATACATGTTAACTTCTTTTAATTAACCATATTTCTTTTAATTAACCAATATAATACATGATCTTACACAAAATCATATAATGTCTTTGATTTGGCAACTCTAATTGAAATAGCAAAGCAAAACAAATTCACTAGGATGTATTGCTTATTTAAAACATTTATTCTTATTAGTGTTTAAAACCGGAAAAGAAAAAACCAAAATTTAACTAAACAGGAACCAAAATGCAATAGATTACAATGTGTGATCTAAACAAACCAACAATCAATTTATATTGAATAACCTAAATTTAAATTGAACGTATTTAATTTAAATTTATACAAACAATAAACCATACTAATTTGGAAATTGAAATCGGCTTAAATTGAATAACCTAAATTTTGCATGCATTGTACAAGATTTCGATAAACCAAACTAATTTGGAAACAGTGAAGGAATTTTCTTTTAAAGTCGAATTTCAAAACCCCAAATTTAAGTGACGAATAAATCGTGAAAAACGCAAAGGAGAAAATTGAGAGGGAGAAAGCATAGAGGCTCAGATCTGTTAATAATCAAAGCAAAGAGGAACAAATCGCCATGGCTGCAAAAATCAGAGCTGCTTCAATGGTGGAAAATCCATCACCAAGCCTCCCGAAATTACCCCACCAAGATACGTAAGTCTCAAACTTTGCCTGATTTACTCAGACAACAACAAATTCTTCGTCATCGCCTGTTCTTTCACCTCAAAATTTTCATATTACCTTTCTGTAAAAACTTGAGAACAAAGCGTAATGGTTAATGATTTAATTTTAATGTAATACATGAAGTATGATTTTGATTGTTCCAATGATCGGACCCGAATCCAGATCCAAATTAAAAAACCGGTTTTGTTGTACATCTCTATGAAGAATATGATCAAAAGAGGACATGATATTACGATATAGTTTCAGGGGAAAGAGAAACATCGATATAACTCAAAGACTTCAGATCAAGCATCATTCGTAGAAAAGGGCTGTTGATAATAAGGGGCAAATCGAAGATCATGGGCTACAGAGGGGGTCAACCACCCTTAGAAACATCCCTTCCCTCTGATGCCTCGTTTCTTTGTTGTCTGAGCTGTTCTTTTTGCCCCAAACCCTAATTTTGTGCAGTTCTTTCTTCTTTTATATCAGGTGGCTTCCAGTTCTACTGTTCCCTCATTGATAAGGTTGTTGTGGTCATTGTAGGAATTATCGATTTTTTATTTTTATTTTTTTTTATTTAAGAGGCATTTGTGTTTATTTTTAATCTAGCTTGCGAAAACTGGAAATTTATGTTAGCACATGACAAAATTGTTTGAATGGTAAAGAATATAAATTTTAAGATACGTGTATTTATCTATATTACGATATTTGCTAAGAAGAATAATTTTAACATCATAAATATTAAAAACGTTACTATCAATTTTTTATAATTGTAATTTATTATTTTATTTATTCTTGTATAAAGCATAAAATGTTAATTTTATAAAGATAAGATCTAAAAAATATCTACTTTAAAAGTTATTTTTTTACCAACTAAGATAGTTTGATTCTTGTGAGCATTTATAATAGTGGAATCAGGAAATTGAATCCAAAACCAAAAAAATCAAAGTTCGAAAATCAAGATAAACTGAGACGATTCTAAATAGTTCTGTTTTTGATAGAAAGGTACACATATATGTAGGCATGTGCATAAAACAGTATAAATCGTTCTCACTGCATAATGTAGTTTTGCATTTTCATGGCATGGTTTCGGTTTGTAGTTTTTGTAAAATGCAGTTGTGGTGCGGTTTTG